AAGTTTAATTAGAGGCCATTCTTCATGTTCTAAGAATAATAGATTAAACAGAGTTGTGTTCTAATTTTCAAAAATGAAAATGTACCTTAGATTTGAAAAAAGGAGTGAAAAGGAACTATGAAGAAGACATTTTCAATTAATAACAGCTTTGTCTTGACATATTATTGTCCTCAGAGTCCCTGTTCTGGGAGTCTTCTAAGTGAGAACAAGTTATCCTGTGATTGTTTTAGCAGTATAGTAATATAATTCTCTTAGATATGATACCAAAATGAGCCTTCCATTTTTCCATACAAATCCTGAGATTCGGTCAATACTTTGTCATTAGAAAAGTGTATGCCCTCAGTGGCTTAACCTCTACAGGCCTCGTATCAATGAATATTTGAAGACTATATTAAGAAACAATAATTTATTGTATTAGGTGCTCTGGGTATTATTAAACATGGGAAGACATGGTTTCAGTCCTCCTGTAGTTTACAATCAAGTCGGAGAGCCAAATACAGAAATGTTGTGAAACAAGGTAGACGAAAGTAAATCGTCCTTAAAGAAAAGTAAATTGTGCTCTGTTGTTCAGAGGCAGGGGAGGGTTTGTTTGGTGGAAGAAGGCCAGGCAAGGAATCGTGTTATAGAATACACCTGAAATAAACCTTGAATGATCAGAAGTTTGGCAGAAGTTTAATAGCCACTTCGAGTTTCAAATGGAGGCAGCAACATGAATGCATGAATGGGAGTGTGGAGAAAGCATGGGACATGTTCATTCTGTGGTTACAAGTAATTAATCTTGTTGTGGCATAATGTACGTTTAAGGGAACTGAAGAGACTAAATTGAGGCTACACTGTTTAGGGCCTTGAATTCCAGGGAAAGAATTTAGCTCAGTAGGAAATAAAAGTTAAAAAAACAACAGCAAAAAAAACCCTTCATGTTCCTCATCTGAATAAGGGGAGAAGTAGGGTTGTTCTGTTTATTCTTTCAACAAATATTTATAATAGAAACAGCAAACTCATCACTTCACAAATATTTAGTTGCAATGCCCCTTTCAGTATGATGGCTCTGTGGTGATTTGTAAGTATGTGTATGTAGACCGAGAAAAAAATATGGCTGTATTTTGTTCACTGAAATTTTCTGACCCTGACACTTCCGCATATAAACATAGTTTGCCTCTCCTTTGAACTCTTCCAGTATATCTACTTTGTCTATTAGATGTTGTATTTTCATTTGATAATATCATTATATATGTACACGTCTTCTCTTACCAGATGTTAACTTCAGGAGGTGGGGCCCATCATCGACCTATCTTTGTATACGCTATAGTGCTCCACTTAAGAGGCATTTAAAAACATGTTGAATGAGTGAACAGTTTAATTAATACCTGCTTCCTAGTGAAATCATTAGACTAAGTTTAAATGTTTTAAGTTACATACTAATTTTTTACATGGAAGATTCTTGCTGGAAATGACTGAAAAGGTACTTGAAAAGCAAATTTCTCAGCTCCCTTAACACCACTGCCTCATGAATTTGTTGGAGATGTATAAAACACACTTGTTCATTTTTGTTATATTTTTAATACAATAGTAGTATATGTTCACTATAGAAACTTCATCTATTACAGATAAGCAAAAGGAAGAAATAAAAATCTCCCATTATCCTAACTCAGAAATTGCAGTTACCGTTTTAGAGGAGTTTATGAAGCAGACTCTACGTGCATTTTTTTTAAAGCTTTTAATACACATGGCTAATTTAGAAAGACTGATCTATTTTGTGCTTCTTTAGAGGTATTGAGAATGCTCCTCATTTATGCCAACACTGCATATAATCACTAATATTAATCCTGGCAAAATGGGTAGGGAAAAAATCATTCCTTTATAAATGTGCTTTTCTTTGAATACTAATTAAATTGAATATTTTTTTCAAGTATTTATTGACCATTTGTATTTCCCTTGTGAATTGCCTCATCACATTTTTGCCTTTTTTTCTATTGGGATATTTCTCTTCCTCTTTTTGAGAACTGGATGTGTATTAATAAACATTTTCCCCAGGCAGGTGATTGCCTTTTACCATATTTCCTTTCAGAGTCACCGATCCCAAGGAAGAGGGTCTAATAAACTAAGTGAAAGTCATATCTATGATCACCTCTTATTTCTAAGCTGAGCCAATGCCATGAGCTAGAATGTCTTCCAGGAATGGAAGTAAACATAAAACAACCAGTGGGATATTATTTTCTCTATGAAAAGAAATGTTTTCAGAAACAATGGTAAAAATAACATTTAAAATTTTAAAATGCCCTAATTGACTTTTGATGATGACTAAAATTTTAGAATTAATATGATTACTTTCCTTTTACCCTTAAGAATATCATACGTAGTACTGGCTTAAAAAGAAATAGAATGGGAAGTGCTGGCTAGTGATGACAAGTCAGATCTGGTAATTACAGTTAACAGTCATGTCTGTTCATACACTATTGAGGCAGTGAAGTATTTCCGTGGGATATGTATGGAAGTCATGTATGGCTGTGCCCCGTAAATTCAATAAAGAATGAGCACTTTTATGGTTTGGTACTAAGAAATTAGCTGGGGGCAATGCTGAAATTCTTTCTTCTTGAAAAATGGAAACTATGATGGGGGGAAAAAAGTGAAATAAATTACAAAAGGGGGGAAAAGCAACATGGCTGGGAGTACAGAAGTATATATAGAAAAAGGAAGAAAAGGAAATAGCCATAAAACAGAAGAGATTGAGAAGTGACTCTTAGAAAAAACACATTCTTTACAATTTATTATGCGGCACTTATCAAAATCTAGTACAATGTTCATTTTAAATCATTTAAATTATGTCAGTGGGGCATTACAAAGATGGAACAGGTTTTTTTTTAAATGCATTAAATGGAATTTATCCCTCATTTATTTTACTGGCATAAAAATAGTTGAGTGTGTCTTCCACGGGGTATAAATGTTGAAAGCAGTTTGTTTTGGAATCTTTAAAAATTTTTTTTTAAGTACACACATGCACACAGCTACACTGGGCATTAGAGCCCCACAAGCTGTTTGCCAGAATTCAAAGTCCTGTCAGATTCCCCTGTTATTTTCAGATGTTCGTTCACCAGTGATAGCTTCAAAAGAAAGTGGGGAAACTGGTCATTTATAATTTTATTTGGGTTAGACAAATAAAAAGCTCTTGGTTAGGATCTCTTTCTACTTGAAGTCACTTTAAAATTCATTAAAAAGTATTGGATAAAGGACCAATACCTAGGGATATAATAGTTTCTGATTGTAAAACCAGCCCAGATTGGAACCAATTCCTGAAAGAAAAACACAGGAATATTTATTGATCTGGGGACGTTGGTATATCTAGGAACAAAGCAAGTAACAGATAGTAATTTTAAATTTTATTTTATTTTTTTCACTTTCTTCCAAAGTTATGTTTAGTTCACTGTTGTGAGTAGAAAAAGGAGCAACTTAAGATAGAAGCAAAAATATAACAGTGTTTGGCTATTTCATAAACACCTTAAAGATTATGAAATTATTAAAATGTTTACAAAAATATTACTAAAAAGAAGTTGGTTTACTTGAATTAAAACACAAGTTAGAGACAAAATTTTGGACTTCCTGTTAGGTAATTTTAAAGCCTTACTTTAAGTACAATTAAATGTAAAAAGGTGAATTTTATAGTCTATCAGAGAAATAAAGCCTGGATGCTCTTATTTCAATTCACTAACAATTAAAAGGTAAAGTACAATTGCTTAGAGTGAAAAAAATTCAAACAAAGTAATACTTTAAAAATATTAGTGATGGTCACTAAAAGTCTGATGAAAGTTTGTGGATCATGTTTTCAAATGGCCATTTGAGCAGCATGACTCATGTGATATCCTTCCTCCTTGGTGTCTTTCCACAGTCAACCAAAAATTAGTGATGAAAATCACATGAGAAGGGACTATATCAGGGGTTTTTAAATCCTGACATATAGACATGGTTTTTATCACTGTGGATGCAAGGCTCTAAAACTGCAGGTATTTTGATTATGAGGATAGGGTTAAAAACCACTAGTTGACTCTTTTAACAGTTTCATCTATATGGAGTGAAATATTTTTTTCTTAACATTTTAATTTTTTGACAGCCTGATTTTATTTATTTCCTGGTAGGTAAGCCCTGATATGTGATGTGTATTTCTATGGTTTAGGGTAACTTTTAAGCTTAATGATTTTCGCCATTATGGGTCAATAATATTATTTGTCCTATTTCCTCAACTGGGGCAATGCTGAACTAAAAAAACACTATGTCAATTTATCTGCTTTCTAATGAGTGGGTTACTTTTCCAAATATTACATATATAAAAATATGTATATTTATATATACACACACACATATATATACACATATGCACATATACTCTCTGTATGTACATATATGTGTATGCACTTACAAATATACATATACTTAATATATATGTATATATACACATGTTATATATGTGTATATATGTGTATATATATATGCTCTACACACACACACACACACATCTGCAGAAAAATGTCACCTTCACATGTTCAAAGTGACCCCAAAGAGTTCAAAATCCAGGATTTGTAGCACCAATCCATGGAAAGATATATTTAAAATCACAAAATAGTTTTTTGCACTGAGACAAACGAAGTCACACAAACCTGTACATATAAGCCTGATTGATTCGAAGGCAGCAGGCAGGCTTTCTTGATTAACTTTATATAAGCTCCTGACATAAGTGATAAATGAAACAGAAATGATATCCTTTTTTAGCTCAACTGTTAAAAAGCCAGTTATTTACTGGTGAATATATGCCACAGACTACTTTGAAGAGACTTCTAATCAGAAGTGAGAAACTCTGAGCACCTGGCATCCAACCGTCACTCTATCTGTTGAAACTGCTAATAAAACATAAACCCGAAAGGCATTATTCCCAGCTCGAAGGCGACATTGTTGTAATTAAAGAAAACCTGTGCTTGAGTTGGCAGAGTCCTGTCTTGCAGAGTCCTCCGTCCTCGCCGAGTGGGAGGGTCACACTGGGAGAGACTAATAAGGGCAGAGATGCGTCCCCCTTCCCCACTCGCAGGGAGCTCGCTCGGGCCACTCCTCGGCGGTGCGGCAGCCCTGCCCGGACTCCACTGCGCCTCTGAGGGGCTCAAACACACATTCAAGGTAAGCTGCGCAGCTCTGCGACCGGCCCTTTCACTTCATCTCTTGCACACATGCCGGGTCTATATCATCTGCTCATGTTTCTGGTCATTTACATGCAGCTGCCTTTCAAGAAAACGGAAAAACTGTGCTACACATGTAAATACGTTTGGGTGGGTAAATAATGCACACCTGCAATTACGCATTCCCATAGGTAGCTTCACAATGGGACCAAAAACATTTGGGCATGATATGGCCACTTTAATATGCTACCTAAAATGTAGTTCGTATCCTATGGTCACAATGCAGGCTGTACGCTTTATACTTTAGTTCGAGGTGGTTTTTCTAGCTATGTGTGTTTGTAAAGCAGAACTGAGCACTGCTGATGCGGGTGAGAACAGACGTCAGATACAGAGTAAAAAATATCCATGGGGTTAAATGCACAAAACAAACTCAATATAAATGCATGCTGTTAGATATATTTTTTAGTCTATGTCTAGAGATTGTACCCGAGAAGCGAGGAGACAGGTTCCGGCGCCTTGCTCTCGGGCGGGATTACTTATTCCGACCTGCGGGTATTTCTCCCCCAGTGTGGCTTCGCGGGGTTGGGGAGGACGAGCGCGGGATCCCGGGACTCCGGCCTCCCGCAAGCCCTGGCTCGTCCCAGGCATCCGGCCCTGCTCCTTAATTACCCTGCAGCACGCGCAGCGCAGACGGGCCGAGCACCGCCGTCGCCGCGGGAATGTCCCGGTCTAGCGACTGGAGAACGCGGTCCCCGCCTCCGCCGCCTTTGCTGCGAGATCCAGCCGCCACCCCGTCAGTGCGCCGGCGCCAACGCCACCGCGGTGGTGGGAAGGGAGGTGGCGCAGCGCAGCCGGGCTAGGACGCTGCGGGGTCCCGAAGAAGTTTGTTGGCCCAGACCCAAGCATGCTGCCGCACCCCCGGCACGCTAGCTCCCTTTAAGCAGACGGGTGTGTAAGTGAAACCTGCCGCATATAGGTTATTGAGGGAGGGAAGGAGGGAGGGACGGAGCGCGCAAGTCAGTGGGCAGGTGAGCTGGTGGACAGGCCCGGTTACAGGAGCGTCAGAGGCAGAGAGAGACACGGATTGGTGAGAGGGTGGAGAGGAATAGGGTACCAAGAACACATTGCTAGCCTCGGGGGACAGTGGGCTGGGATCAAAAAGAGAAGAACCCAGAACCCGGAAAATGTATAGAGTTTTAATTGAATCATCCAAGAATTTCAGCAGTGAGTGACCATAAGCCACAACATGAGGCTGGGAAACAGAAGGGTAAAGGAAAAAATTGTGCTGCCTCCTCCCACCCCCAATTCCAAGACTTCTTAGTTCCATCTTCTCCTTGGAGAAGTCCGAGAAGAAACAAGATAAGACAATGGTCAGGATAATGGAGAGAATGAAATAAAATCGCTCCAGCAGCCCCTCCCCACAGATAAGAGAGAGAGCAATGGTGCTTGTTTTTCTGCCTAAATTAAGCATTACTGTCATTCTTTAAGAGGTTTTTTTTGTTTTATTTTGTTTTTTTAAATTGCCCACATACATGTGTGGTCTTTCAACCTCCCCTTGCTGGTGTTTGGGGATAAAACTGTAGGACCCTCTCTAAGTAGAGATCTTTGATATATGCCTGCAGAGGAGCTGAGATGTTCTGGTATTCAGATGGTGCAAACTGCACCTAAAAGCCTCTTCCTGAGGAGGAATTACAGGATTCTCTGAGTTGGAATATCTCTTCACAGTGGAAAAGAGGAAAGGTGACCCCCAGGGGTGAAAAACTCATTCTCTTTGTAGGGGATAAAAAATGGAGAAAGTAACTGGTAGGTGAGGTTTTTGTCCAGCCTGATCTCTCAAATTGGTAAGGAATCTAAGTGGAATTTCCTGGAAAAAGAGCATGAAGGTGCTCAGTAGAGCAGGGGAGTGAGCCTGGGTATGAACAGGTCAGAGAAAGAACAAAAAGGTGAAAGAAAATCAAATGTGATTATTATCACAGTTTGGACATTATCTCTGTATCTGAATCGTCATCCAAGGAAACCATCTAAAACAGATGGGAGCTCTGATGTTCTCCAGAAATGGAAAATTTCCATCTACTTTCTGGTCCTCCAGTTTAATCTCTCCAGAGTGCTGCAATTTTAGTTCATTTTTCCCCCCCACAGACAGAAATATCCAGCAGGTACACAGAGTGGATGGTTTTAGAGGCAAGAGAAGATATGAAGATAGAAAACCATGGTTATATTGCTAATTGGTGTCATAAATACTAATTCAAGTGAAGAATGAAAAATAAGCAGTAATACAAACTAGCAGGGCCAGAAAGATACTAATAGATAACCCGGAAAGGATGCTGGAACAATTTGAATGGATGGTACTGGAGTTGGATTATTTAAGGCAGGCCATGTTGAGAACATAAATTTTAAAGAGGCAGAGAATAACAAGGCTTAGCAGAAGAGAGCAAGAGAGAGGGAATTCCAGCCAGAAGGAATGGCATGTGTGAAGTCTTAGAGGTGGGAGCGAGCAGTCATGTGCCTGGTAAGACAGAGAATCCAAGCTGGGGTGAAACCCGAGATGAGGAGAGCAGATAGCACCTGCCAAGGAGAGATTGGAAAGGAGAGGCTGAGGCAAGGGGCTCTTTAGGGTGTTATTTTGTAGGTCTGTAGTGAGATAATCAGGTGAGAAAATTGCATATGGAATGTGGAAATTGATAGAAAGGTGATGAGTGCAAGAGTAGAGCAATAGGTCTGTGTTATCTATGCACTGGGTTTATGATCTCTCCCTCTGAGAGAAATCAAAGACACTTTTGATTGTAAGATTATTAGATCAGAAAGCTAGGAGAGCCCTTCAAATAGAATGATTAGGAAAAGTGAATAAACTAGGAAAAACTATACATATATATTAATTTAAAATTTTAACTGGCATTGTGTGATGGATATAGATATATCTGTGGAAACAGAGCTAAAGAATTGAAATCTGAAAACAAGTAGGTCAGTCATGATGGTCGAAATTGAGACTAGTATCCAAATAGTTGATGGAGACAACTATAGTTCAAGCAAGTCACTAAAACAAACAAGTTGTTGAGGATAGAATCTGTTAAGCATGCTCAAGGGGAACCTGAAGTTAGAGACCCTCTGGGAAGTAGGCACTAGTTTTGAAGTGACAGAACTTTGAGAAAATGTGATATAGTTGATCAGTTTTAGAGGAGTAGAAACAATAAGAACCAGAGAACATGTTTTCTGTGAAGGAAGAGAGCAACTTTGAATCAATATATCACTAAATAACTAAAATTATGTTCACTGAGCCGCCTTTTAGTAACTTTTCCTATATTTCTCTTAATTTTTTACTTCATCCATATCTTTCAATGAATACTAAGTCCATATCTGGATAATACTTAACAGTTCCAACCCTTTCATTTGTTTAGTCCAAACCTGTTGCCTTAGACTATTGATGGTACAAATTGATCAAATGTGTACCTACTAAATGCCAAGTTTAAACAAAGCCCAAATGACAAGATACAATTTTTTTTCTCCAAGATGTTCAATATAGAGAGGAGACAGAGTACACACAAGTTGTTACAATGCAATATAGAGCATGCTGAAACAGAGATGGGTACCAAGCTCTGTTGGATTGCAAGGCAGTGAGTAACAAATTCTGTCTGCGATGGTTCTCGCAGACTTCATGGAGGATGTGGCATCTGAACTGCAGAGTAAATGTTCACCAGATGGAGAGAGAATTTGAAGGACATTCCAGCAGCCAGAACAGCATGTGCAGAAGCCTGGCACGTTTGGGGAATTGTGAATAGTTTAATGGAGTAGAGTTCGCTTGGAAGGAGGTGGCAGGGTATGAGACTTGGACAGATGAGTTGAGGCCCCATGTAAAAGAGCCTTGAGTGCCTCTCTGAGGAGTGGGCAATGAAGAGCTACCGGGAGACTTTAATGAAGCAGAACTCTAAGTGATTAGATCTTTGTTTCAGAAATGGAATTCCTGAGCAGTAGGGAGATGGAATTAAGGGGAACAAGACTGGAGGAAAGGAGTCTAGTTAGGAGCCTATTGCACTTTTCCAGATTAGAGATGATAAGGACATGAAGGCAGTTTTTATGAGGATGAGAAAGTTGATAGGGATTCAAAAGTCATTTTAAAAGTAGATTTGATACTTTGGTAGAAATATGATATGGTGGGTAAGGAACAAGCTGATGATTTTGAAATTCTGACTTAGATTTCTAAGCTAATGATGATGCCTGTAATTAAAAGAGGAAGGCCAAGAGGTATCTGTACACTATAAAGAGGGCAGAAACCTTGCCTAAGCTGCAAAAGACTTCTCAAACTAACTTCAGTTTCATTACTACGGTCAATGAAAAAAGTAATGAAATAATGCTACTATAGATCTAGTCCTAAACCCTAAGGATATTTGTCCTCTTATTGACTTGGAGTTTTAACTTCGTAGGTATGACTTTGTAGTCAGTTTTCTCCAATAGTTTATAGACTCTAGTATAGCTTCACTAAAGATAGAGCCTAAAGATTGGTAAAAGAACAGATGTGTACCACCTGTTGTTTTTGCTTATTTACAAGTTGTGTCACTTCATAACAGTATGGCCAGATTCTCTTGGTGGAGTTATGTACAGGCATACTGGAGGGTAGTCAAGAAGGTTTGATTTAAAAAATTGATCCCCTACCCAGCCATACAGCATTTCTCTTTATAATGAATGCCCTGAAAATATGGGTCCTTTCAATCATTTCACAAATCAAGCCTACTTTTTTGAAAGTTGAAATGTTGTGTTGCTCATTTTACAGTCTATGTAAAGTGAATCGGTATTCCCTTTCTATTTTCTCCTCTCATTTTCTTCTTTCACTTGTCTTTCTTCATGTTATTTTCTATTTTGGTGTTAGAACTAATGCCCTGACTCTTTATATTGGGTTGTCGGAAAAGTCATGACATATTTTTTCTATGTTTATTGTTGCAAAAATGCGTCATGACTTTTCCGACAACCCACTATAACACCAAATTTCAAAGAGGCAGAATGAGTGTT